CTTAGTAAAAGCCTTTTGAGGTGAACTATTGGCCTCGATGCCTGAATTTGGACTTGAAACCGAAGATTTCGAGTCTTGATTCCAAAATCAGCCTGAGATTTTGGCGATTCAACTGGAGAAGGTGGGGAAGGTGGACCTAAAATCGGAGAATATTGAGTCATGATTCCAAAACCAGTTAAAGATTTGGGCGATTCAACTGGAGAAGGTAGCGAAAATGGGCATAAAATCGGAGAGTTTCTTGTTTTGATTTCAAAATCAGCTGGAGAAGTGGGGGATTCAGATGGAGAAGGTGCAGAGGGATGAATGTGATGATCAGAAGGAATTTTTACATTAAGTTTTGCTCCAAACAGAATCATTCTGCCAATTGGCTTAGAAACAGAATCATTTTGGATGTGAGAACGAAAATAGTTGAGAGTGCCGTTTGATTTCGCCATTGATGAAGAAGCCATGGTTTGTATTTTGTACTGTTAGTTAATAATGAGTCAGACAGCAAGTGAGTGAGGGGTGACGGAGCAGAAGCAGAACCGCCTTGAATTAACGAATGTGCGATTTCACTTGAGGAGCAGGATTGCTTGTAGGAGTTCATTGCAGCTTGGTGGTGGTGGTTGTGGTGACGGCAATGGTTGGTGGGTTGATTGTAACTTGGTTTACTTGGGGTGAGTGGGAATATGGTTGGTTGGTGAAGGAGGTCAAAGGTGGTAGCCCTTTTAGTTTTTTTATTAATTTTTAAATTATTTTACGTTAAAATTATAAAATTATCACTTTGCCCTTTTATATTTGGTCAAAATCAATTATTCTAATCAATTCGAGTGTGAATTTTGAAAGATTTTATATCATGGATGAAAATTTCCGATTTAAGTGATACAAAATGAAAGATTTGATACCGCGACTACAATACTCTCAAATATAAATTAAACATGTCTAAGGTTAATTAGTAGAATTAAGAATCCTGACTATTTCCTTCAGGGTGTATTTGATTGCATCTATTTTTCATAAAAAAAATATCAATTTTTCATTCAAATTTCTCTTTGGAGTGTTTTATTGCTATTTTTTCCATCGAAAATATTTATATCTTTTGAAAATATACCTAATTTTCACCGCTTTATTACTTATTAACGATATCATCCTCTAAAAAATTCGACAATAATAGACTTTTTGGTTGGCATGCCACAAAAACTATACATCCAAAAACTATTCATACGACATTCTACAAAGCATGTTTTATTATTAAAAAAAAAAAAAAATCTTCTCCTCTCTTTCGTTCTTTAATATTTCCCCACCTAACGCAAATATTTTGTTTCTACTCTAAAAAAAATTGATATCAAAGTCTGGTGATAAAGGCAAAATTTATTTCTGCGAATTTGAGGTTTTGTTCACACAACATAGGAAATCAAAATTCATTTAACGTGGCGGACGTGTGGAGCTTCAACTTTTGTTTTTTCAAGGATGTGAATTTTATAAAATATTTGAGCAAAATTAATTATTGATTTTAATTTATATTTTAATACACTTTTTTTGATTGAACCAAACATGAATAATATATCCTAATGCCGTAATTAAGGACTCAAATCGCCAAATCCGTCTTAATTAAATGGTGTTATGCAATATGATAAATGAATAAAATGCATTTTTCTCTTTTTATCATAATGCATAACACCATCTAATTAAGGACTCAAATCCGTCAGATTTTTAGACCTTATTTGATGCCCATTTTTTTTAAAATACACTTTTCTCCTTTTTCCTTTTCAACCACACATTTTTCAATAAAATAATATTATACACAATCCAAAAAAATTTCTTTCATTTTTAACTACACATTCTCCATTAATTTACTATTCCAAAATACATTCAACATTAAAAAAAAAAAAAGGGGCTCAAATATGCTCTTGATAGATTTGGATAAAATTTGATAAAATGAGTTGTTAAAAAGTTATAAGTCGCATAAAATGTATTATTAAAATTAAATATTGACTTTGATTATATTTTAATCAACTTTTTTAGTTGTAAAATAGAAATTTATCAGGTATAAAAGTTACTTTTATCGAAAATATATTAAAATTTACTTTTTAAAAGTAAGTGTACATGAAAAGGATGAATATTATTCGATAAAATAAGTAATTTAAAAGTAAGTTCATTCTAATTTACTTTGAATGCTAGCCAATTATGATGTCTAGCAATAAATATTTCACAAATATATTCCCGAATTTGACACAAGATAATAAAAATAATGGGCTACTCTATTATTCCTTGTGCTATATTATTTTAGGATTATTTTACTTGGATTCTTCCATTTCTTGGAATTTTAAGCCCTTTTTTTGAGGTACGACTCATCGTACACCTATAGAATTTTATTTTATTTTTTTGCCATTACACTTTTTTATCATATATTTTCATTTTCTTTTGGCTTAAATTCCTCGTGGTGAGAAGGGTTTCTTTGTAATGCGTATTTGCCTTTAGTCACTGTTTGGAATAACTTTAAAGCGCTCCGTTGAATTTACAAGAACACCAATAATCAGTTTGATGGACACTAGTTTAGAATCTTATTTGTGTTCGTTGTCGGAGGTCCAAATATTAAAATATTGTTAAAAGTTGATAAAAGCTGATGAATCTCAAGAAATATATAGTGAAAAAGTGGATAAAATTTGTGACTTCAATAAAATGTGTAATTAAAGATTAAATCGACCAATTTTTTAGCAAACAAAAACTTTACCAAACAAGTCCTAAATCTCCTTCCAAAATATTTTGTTCTTTTGTTGCGTGGTTAAAAGATCTTTATTTATCCGCTTGTTCTAGCCCACAAGTCTTACAAGGTATCAAAGCATAAAAAATGTTTTAAGGTTATGTTTCGTCATGATTTATTTATGAAAATTATACACCTACGACGTATTAGAATTTTTGTTAGAAAAAGGTTGAATTCAAACTTGAACTCATAGTGGGAAGTGTGTTACAGACAAATTTTAAAATTGATGAGAAGTTGATATAATTCATTAATTTTGCAAAGGGAAATTGATGTTCTTTTTGTAGATGCACAACTCAATGGCTCAAAGGATATTGGATTATCCAGAATCTGATAAAAACACCCTTAACATACTAACATGGAACAAAATTTAATATTTCTTTGACAAATTTGAATCTTATCAACAATATCAAACAATTTTTTATTTTTCTCTAATACTAAATTCTACACAGTTCATTGTATGGTGTGTGTTGGTATTTTTATAATTTTGTTTATTCCGTAATGGAATATAGAAATAGCATTCGGAGTTAAATTTCATACTTGTGCTTGAAATGGAAGCAATATTCTTAAATGGGTACATACCATTAAATACTTCTTTATCTCTTCCTCTCTTGATCCAAACGCCTAAAAATTGAATCTACATCTACACAATCTTATAAGAGTCAATTGAGCGGTACTGTTCATTTTTTGTCATCAAAATGACACTTCCCTCCCCCCCAAAACTACGTTCATTTGAAATCTTTGTAAAATCTACACAATCTTGTAAGAGTCACTGTTCACTTTATTTCATCAAAACGACACTTTCTTTTTCTCAAAATGACTTCCATTTGAAATCTTTGTAAAATCTACACAATCTTATAAGAGTCAATTGAGGGGGTGCTGTTCATTTTTTTGTCATCAAAACAAGACTCTTTTCTTTTTTTTTTTTTTGCCAAACGACATCCATTTGAAATCTTTGTAAATGAAAAAAACTTTCATTTGCCCTAAACCTAACATCGTTTCTTCCCTCTCAATCTCTCTATTCTTCCCTCTCATCCTTTGTAACCTTAGGCACCTTTCCTTCGTTTTTCTTGAATCTTCCTCGCTCGCCTGTCTTTGCTATTTGATTCATGTCGATCTTGCTCCCAAACTTAATGTTCGAGTAAGGAGTGTAATGCTCTTTGAAACATAATCTTCGACCAGTGGGTTCGGGACTGTAGTATACAAGTTTTTGTGTTAGGATCCTGTTAATTACCTCGATTTAGAAGGACAAAGAGGAACTTAGGTAAACTTTTAGAATACGTGCGATTCTAGGATTTTTTTTGGAGTTTTTGTAAATTTTTCTTTTTTTGTGATTTTCTCTTAGATTGTTTAGTCACTTTTGAGCCTGTAGACCGCGCGTTCGTTTTCTTCCCGTAGGGTTCTTATAAAGACTTTACAAAGTTGAATACTTAGTTAATTTAACCTTTATTACATACTACATCAATATTTCAGAATAGTGCAAATCACATTTTTTAAATTTGTCATCTCTTTATTCACTCAATTCAGGAAAAAATTATATTTCCAAGCTTTCAGAATAATTATGTATGATTGACCATATAATTGATATAAATAACATCCAAATGAGTAATGTTATTCATCTCCAGTGGGTTAGAAACACAGTTTAGATAGCTCTACATGATAGGTTAAATGAAAGGTGAAATTAAATGACTTATTTAATTTTGTCTATCATTTAATGCCACATTAATGTCATCTAAACTGTGGTTGTAACCCTAATGGGGATGAATAGAATTACTCTATCCAAATACCAAATCTGATTTCTACATACTCCCCATAAAGTGGAAGAAGCTTTTAGGAAAATCAAAGAAAGGGCGTGGTTTTGTTCCACTTCTACATTTACAAGTATTTTGGATTTCTCTAGTTTTCGAATTCATATTTTTAGGAGGGTTTATTTTTCTTTCTTTTTTTTTTTTTATTGTGTTGTGTGAAGTATTTTTTAGATTTTCGTACAAGTATTTTTAAAAGTTCTGTTCATCCTCGACTTTTACTTGAATTTTGTAATTAATTTATGTTGGAATTGGTTAAGTATAAAATCATGAAAAATTGATTTTCGTGTCAACTTCGATTAAATATTCGGACTTGATTCGATAGTTAAATTATGAAAATAAATAAATTAACATGTTCTACTCATAGAGTAGATCGTTGTGATATACTTGGAATCTACAAACCAATTTTGGGTGAATAAGAAATTATAGTCTAAAGTTGGAAGAAATGAGAGGAAACTGACTGGAAATTTATCCAACCCCGTCTCTCGCCTAGCGCTCGAGCGACAAAGTCTCTAATTCTAATGTTCAAATGACGCAAGGGCGACAAGTTAGCGACAACAAAAACTGTCATCCTTGACAAAAGGTTGTTGAGTTTGGGTCGCAACAGTTCACTCATAACCTTTCATTCTTTATGAATTAGACCATTGGGACGTCTATTTGTTCATCCTAATGATATGCAATCATAGCATAACATTAAATTCATCTTTTCCTAAGCTACAATTTTGCATAAAACTGTTTTTCCATTTTTCATTTTGAAAGAGTACAAAAACCAATATTTGATTCGCTTTTCATGTGTTTTGAAGTGCTACTAACACATGAAGTTTGTCGTTATATCTTGAGAGTCGATTGTCATCATCCATGGGCACCGTTGCAGGGCAAATTCAACGTAATGACAAAGAATTCAACT